AAAGGGGGACTATCAATACAAACACACACACCAGCCTTACGTATATTCCAAGACGAACAGGCAAAAGTGCAAACAAACAAATCGGAGAAAATGATGACAAACAGAGACTTACGAGGATTGTTAAGGCGGGGAGCACTTTTGTCAATACAAATACCAACATGATTAAGTAAAGAAGCATCTTTAGTAAGTCGACGAGAGCTCCATACATGTTTATTTAACTCCTCTAGCATGTCACCAAACTGTGAAGAGCTGGGACGCTTACGTTGTTCTTTCTTATGGGTAATCCACTCATTCGAGAAAGGATATTGGCCGGGAGCAGGTCGAATGAAGAAATACTTAGTTTTCCATTGGGTAATGTTGGAAGAGAGGTCGTTAAGAAAAGTAACGCCTACTCGACGGCCCAGACAATGAGCGCCCTTGCTAAACCTATACCCGTAGCAGTAAAGAAAAAACTCGGGAAGGAAATTACCTAAAACTATACGGGTAACAACTATGAAGGCTACCATTATTCGAATAGAGTTGGGGGTGAACTGGTTTATTGGTATATCGAAAAGATTACTTAACGACAGCAGTTCAGGTTGAATCGGGAAACGCAGGCCCGACATTATTTGATCTACAAAAAAAGTAAAACAACCCTTAGGAGGGTGACGAAAGTCGTCTTCAGGCTTAGGAGCGACTACAGCCCAATCCGAGGGAAGGCCGCTGAACTCTCTGAAGCCATCGATTTCGGCTGCAGGAACACAAGAAAAACGGCAGTAAGAACTCACCATCAAACGTGCTATAATTGCAGACGCGATTAAGGGAAATGATCAAATAAAGGAACAGAGCGGGCCGCGCGAATTATGATATTCGAAAGGTCTAGCGAAAAATACCTCTAGGACCCAAGTCGGGGTGAGAAGACTCAAGGGTTTTGAGAGTTTCGGGATCCTCACAAAGGGTGCCCGAAAGTAACGCCTGATTATATACAGCCAAATCGATACCGAAAGGTGAGACAGGCGAATGGACGAAGTCCTCCGGCTCGGCGTTCCAATAAGAACACGGGTCGACATCGTTCGGATGAACAGAGTCCGAACCCGAATAGTTATCGATTTCACGGCCAAGAGAGCCAGAGACGGGATCAGAAGCAGGGTCGAGATTGGGATCTAAAAAAAAAAGAGAACGGCAATCAAGAAAAGTTATTAAAAACCGTGATTCGGTTCAAAGAGGGGCAGCAAAGTAACCGTGATGATACGAGAAGCGTCTCGGCGACAGGAAGAGGGACAAGAAATAGTAAAAGTAGCTCCTATGTCGATTCGACTTGGCCAAACAAGGTCAAGAGGAAAGAGAGTCGACCTCATAATGAGAGGACCAAAAAAAAAAAAAAACACTTAAAAAGATGGATGGAAAACTTACAATTAAGAGATCTAACAAGAAAATCACCAGAAAAGTCGCATACAATTCCAAAAAATGAAAGATGTTCTTGTTTTCAGACAATTTACCCAGAAAAATAAAACGTGTTCTTATCTCAAAAATACGGAAACAAGTCGAACAGATAAAGGAAACTTACGCATACTCATGATGCTTGACGGAAAGTCTTGAGAAACCGGAGAAGGACGCCGGAAAATAAGAACGCCGGAAAGCTGTGTTTGCCGAAGAAAAACAGAAGTTTCAGAGCAGATGAGTGCGGAAAGTGGAGAAGGGAAGAAAGGAGGGATATTTATAAAAGGAGCAGAGAAACACTGACCCTCAGATTAAAGTGGTATTCAACGGTTGAGATGATGCACGGAATACGAAGCGGCGGAGAGATAAGACGTCCTATCAATGCTCAAAGACCCTATTTTTTGAATTTTGAAATTCAAAAAGATCCAGACTTATCTAATTAAGTAAAAGTTCGCGTAGACAAGTCATGTTACAAGTCGAGGTAGCGAGTAGGCATGACCCAGGGTAACAATCGATGACGGGACACATGAGAGGTTTTGAGAGAAGCATCCAGACGACACAATCTACTCGTAAGCTCAGAATAGCTTCGAGTAAATTTTGGGGGGGACTAGATGATATAGCACTACTGCCGTTGAACGGTTCAACAACCATCACGGTTCGAAATCATCGAGTCGACTCCTACACAGTCGACTTGACCAGCAAAGTTCCACGATAATCAGGCAAGAGCCCCGGCTCTCGACCAAGTCGACGTGCACCTGTCGACTAAGATAAGTCGATCTCTGGCAAGACAACGGTCAGACGTGTTAAGGTCCACTAACGGATGACCCCAGCCTAGTCGACTCGACACGATATCTCAGGTCGACTGAAGGAGTTTAGGGGGTCGTGGCTCTTGACAACTTCGACACACCTCAGCATATTGGAGAAGAGTTAAGGATAAGAAGGAAGCTGAGGAAGGATCTAGATGCTGACTAGGAAGTAGGCGGAATATGAACCGACCGGGGTATTCTGGACATTTCCATTAAGTCGGCCGAGGCATTTTGGAGACTTCAGGTAAGTATTGCACTCCTATATAAAGGACTGAGGTAATCCAAAAACCCTAACTCCCATTCATTCTACACATTCCTCCATTGCTGCTGCTCTCTGAAAGTAGTTTTTCTTCATCTTCCACATACTGACTTGAGCGTCGGAGGCTCTACGCCGGGAACCCCTCCGGCGTTGAGTTCTTGCAGGTGTTCGTGCGGTCCAGCAACGGCTCGAAGGTCATCAGGCCAGATCTAAGCTCACTCATACCGGTTCATCCCAGATCCGGACGTTTTCTCATTAAACCGTTCCAGATCTGAGAGCAGACCCATCAATATATTTTCTATTATTTATTTGTTGAATAAATTACTAAATTAATTCTAAATTTGGTAGCAAAATATTCAAATATGTAACGGCTAATGTTGTAACTTAAAGTTGATTGACACATTCAGAGTTGTAACCGCTATGGTTGCATTGTTGAAGAAAAATATGATTGGCACATATTTTTGTTTTTCTAAATAGCAGAAACACCAATATTTTTTTATTTATGTTAATTTTCTTAATATATGCCACAAATATATAAATTATTTTATTCATGTTACTAATGTAAACATTTAATGGTTAAAATAAAATTTAAATCTCAATTAATTTTGAATGATAAAAATAACTTAAGAAAAAGTAATAATTTTTATATGATAGAAGTACATGTCTTATTAATTAGTACAAACAAAAATACGTGTTTTATACATGTGCAAACGCACATGATCAAATACTAGTAGGCTATAAAGTGAGCAAATTTATTTAGGTTACTTGATGACTGTTCCTTGGTACGAAATTCAAATTTGTTGAAAAATTAATCAATATATTGTGTATTTTTTCTGTAATATGTAGGCCAATATAGTGGTTTTTAGGCATGAATTTCATTTTTATTTTAATATTTCATATGAAATCAACATAATAAAATTACTGTAACTCTGAAAAACTAATATTAACGGATATTTTGATATAACTAGTACAATGTCCGTGTATCACACGAGTGCTTGCTAATTTTTTCCTTAAAATCTAAAATTAATGAGAAAAGTAGTTAAAAATTTAAATACCTTTTATAAAAATATATATTATTATATATTTAGTATGACAATTTTTATTTGTGTGACTTATTTGTGTTATATTATAATTATTTTTTAACTTACAACATATAACTACATTAAATAAATATATCAGCTGAGAAATAATTTTATTTTTCTAATAAATTTTAATAAATATTATTATTTTTATTATTATAAAGATAAATATAATTTATTTATTTTATATATACAATATTGATGTCAAATCGAAGACCATGAAAAGATTATTAATTTTATATATTATATATGTAAGACCGATAAGAAATACAAAAGTTATCAACTTTTAAAATACATTTATAATTCAATAGCTAATTGAAAGAAACAAATCAAAAGTCAAAGATATATTAGTCACTTAGTGTCTCACTATATAAAATTATAAAAAATTAAAGGGTTATATTAGTACAAATGATATTAAAATACCTAAGTTAGTTTAATATTATTTATGGAATGTCCGAACCTAGATTATTAATTATTAATATATCAATATTATTCGTCCAAACCTAATTACGAAAAATGATTCTTCGCCAAGTATGATTCCGAAGCACCAGAAACAGCCACGTAGGCTCAGCGCATTCGAGAATTATATAGGGGATGTGCGTGTGTCGATGATAAAAAAAAATTATGGTCATTTTTATTTATTTATTTAGTGGTTCACGAGTTAATTCATTTTTTGTTATGATATTTTCAAATAATTTTTGTGTGAAATGCGCTGTTATTTTTTTAGCATGAGAGAGTGTCGAGTTTTTTGGCATAAAAAAATCATATGACTGATTGTTTTTACTCAACTACTTAAATTTTTCGATTTGGATATTTTATTAAAAAAAATTATTTTAATTAACGATACTATATAAGTTACATATTTATACTTATTATTTACATATGTTTTAAAATATATTATAACTTTTTAACATATATAGAATCACGTTGTAGAATTTCTGAATAAAAAATTTGAAATGACACATATTTTGAAACGAATATAATATAGTTTATCATCAGTTATGTGCAACGGATGAGTATTAGTTTTAAATAGATGTTTTCATATAATTTTGTACAATTTAAATTGTATATAATATTTGTAATAAATTAATATAAGTACAATATGTATGTATTTCACTTATAAACATCATTTAATAAAAAAATTTTGATTTATAAATATTAATAAATATTCTAGCCCAAAAACACAATAACAAGGAGAGGAAAAAAGATATATATCAAGAATGGGATGAAGAAGACGATGAACTTCCCCTAACCACAGCCATTTTGAGGGTAAAACACGGAATATAACACGTATCGAAATCCAGTAGGCATCCACAGGCGCCTCGCCGCCACGAGCTGAGCTCCGACCAACTTATACCAATTTGAACCGACATATATCTATCACTCATATATGTACATATATTTTGTACAAACGACCGTCTGTAAATAGGGAATGCAATGGCGAAGTCAAGTTGCGGCACAATCGGCAGCGAAGCTAGTGAAAGCATCACGGAGAGGCTGTCTCGCATCGACGACTTGTACTTTCCCCGCAAGGTACAATCCTCCGCCGCCGCGGACCCCTCCCAACGCAAAGCCCTCCTTCTCCACCTCCTTTCCACCGACGCCGCCGTCTTCTTGGGTACTTCTCAACTCAATCTCATCGTCGCTATCGCCGATTAACTCACTTTTTTCTGTTTGCATATTATGCAGTTTTTGCCTGTAGATTTCATCTCTTGCTGCCGAGCATTTTTTATAGGGTTTTGGATTGCAGTATCTTGTAACTGAATTTACTGAGGCTATTTTAACAACTAGTACACTGAATCCAAGCCTTTAAAAAAAATGCAAAATTTTAATCTGAATCATTGAATTGGAGCTTAAAATCTGTGCTTAACATCCGAGTTGATAAATTTCAGAGCGTTACGTATCGAAGTTATCGCTTGATGAGCTCACTTAGTTCAACGTGTTGAAGGACAAGTATGTAATCTATATATGCAACCTAATTTTCAGATGTTTGCATTTTTGCCTGTAGATTGTTGCGCAGCATTTTTTTAGGGTTTCAGATTGAAGTAGCTTGCAATTGATTCTACTGGTGCTACTGTAACAACGAGTACATTGAATCCACTTTTTTTTTTTGGGTACAGTTTCATCTGAATCTTTGATTTTGCGCTTAAATTTTGTGGTTGACATCTGAGTTGATAAATATCAGAACGTTACGGATCAAAGTTATCGCTCGACGAGCTCAATCAGTTCAACGTGTTGAAGGACGATTATGAAATCAATTGGCACTTAAATCACCTCCGAAGCATAATCGACCCTACGGAGGAGGAGCGGAAGTCTGCATCGGTGAAGATAAAGAACCGGAGATTGGCCTACATGGACAAGCTGATGCTGGACGGGCATTACTTCTCGGAGGATGCAATGAGGGAAAGGGAGCCATACTTGCATCATTTGTATGTAGGGAAGTTTCAGGACTCGAGTGGGAGGAATATGGTGAGGCCCGGGGAGCGGTGGTCCGAGACACTCATGAGGCGGTCAGAGGAAGCCATGTTGGTGCAGAAGATCAGAGGCGAGCAGCAAAGGTTGGGAGTGGCTCAGAGTGAGTGGGTCGGGAATGAAAGTGACATGCAACAACAAGAGGAAGAAGAGGAAGAGGAGGAGGAAGAAGAGGAAGAGGAGGAGGAAGAAGAGGAAGAGGAAGAGGAAGAGGAAGAGGAAGAGGAAGATGAAGAGGAAAAAGATGAAATCGAAAGAGAAGACACAGTGGAGAAGGAGACATTGGAAAATATGGAAGGCGTAGCAGTTGACCTCCCTAATAGAAGCTCCCATGCTCATCAGGTAAAAATTGTTTTTTTAAGCACTGTTGTTGGTACTAATTCAATATTCTTATATAGTTTTTGTGTGATTCTTAGTCCTCCGTGACTCCATCTAAGTTGTTAGTGGTGAGAGAATTAAGTTTGATGTGCAATAAATCACACCTTAATTGTATGAACCCACAATTCATAAGCATTTGACACTAAATCATCATTACCCTCTATTTGGTGAAGTAACTAACATTGGTTTCTTGATATGGGTATTGAGATATGTTTTCTACATGAATCCTCGATTAATATCTATGTCGATTAAAAGTTGTTATAAGTAATATGAAAATAGAAACTGCGCTGTCAATGTGCTGAAATTGTGAGTATTGTGCTTTATCGGTTCTATTTGTTAGGAGTCATCTGCCCATTTGCAGTTTCCTTTTTCCTTGAATAAAGTAATTGTTTCCTATTAGAAAAAGAATGTAATGACAAAATATTCAGTTGACGATGGTGTCAGATATTTATTATTTTTTTTGGTCAATTTGTAGCCTCCTAGCACAGAGATGTATCACTCTACATGAACTTTGATGTGGTCCACTGGAATGATTTTAGATTAGTTTTTCGAAACATATTCCATCCTGACCATACAATGTTCTGCGCCTTTTTATTAAGTCATGCTAAAACAAAAGCCTCGTACGTTGTCGTAAATTTGTTTAAATTGTGGTAGCAAGAGGAACCTGACTTACTAGATGTTGAGATCATGGATGTTTTATGTAGCTCCTCACCTGAAGAAGCTTCTCCTGCGTATGGCCACGGTGGATTATAAAGAAATAAAGCGTCAACCCTTCTCATTTCCTAGGATCTTATGAAAACTCGTCCATCAAATTAGAACATTTGCTGTATTTGACACAATCATGCTCCTATCTGGGTGCCAAATTGGATGTGTTACTGACGACGTTCATATGTTTTGATTAATGTTGATTAGTGTTGTTACTTTTTGATCGAGTGTAGTCTGATGGGATTATAACGTGCAGTCGGGAGCTGGAGAACGAGAGGCAGACACTTTGTCCGTGGAGAAAATGCAAGACCGCATGGACCAATTCACTCGGATAATGCAGCAAAAGTTCTTAACAGGTGAAGATGAGGAGCACGTGGACTACTCAAAAATCGATCAAAATGAGACCTTGGATGATCACTGGATGAAACAAGCCAATCAAGATGCCGAGGAGAAGTACTTTGATGATGTTTGAGATCATGAACCCTCTCCGTTTCATTTCCGCCTTTTTACTGGATGTAAGTAGTGCTTGCATGGACCTTTCACTATGTAATCCGGATCATATTACATGATGTTTAGTATGTTATTCCCTGCTTGAGTTTGGCTTACACCAGATTAGTCGGGCTATGCATCAACAATCACCAAAAATTTATTGATAGCTACTTAACGATTGACAAGTTCATCATGGATAAACCTCCTTATTTTATTTATTTCTTTATTTTTTCCATCGTTGGTATCAAGAGTGAAAGCCAAACAAACACCAAAAACATAAAGGGGTGTGTGTATTCATATTTGGGATTTTAAAAGAATCCTGGTGTATTCAATTTGGCCCGGCCTGGGTTTTGGCCACGTCTCAAACTTTTCCAAAAATCCCCCACGGCTAGTTTCTGTAGTTCTTGCAATTGTAGGAAATCATTGTTAAGCCCGCTGTCAAGTGTCAACTGTTAAGGCTCTCAAAAATCTGTAAACTCTGTAATGGAAAAAACCTAAATCTCGGTTTTGCTCTAAAGTCAACAGTTGACTCTATAGTGGAGCCAACTTTCTATATACAACAAGTAAACCATACCATATTAATAAAATTATTAGTGTTATTTAAGTAATCAGAAAATATGGTATATTTACTTGTTGTATATAGAAGGTTGGCTTCGCTATGAAGCCAACGGTTTGTTTCATAGCAAAACCGACCTAAATCTATCTCAACGGCATGTATTAATAATACACTAACCTTATAGTATCTATGCTAATACAAGGATAATTTAATCTTCCCTTGGCAAAAGTACCTATGACTATGAGTGAATGACCAACTTAGTATATTACTCAATCATTATTAAAAAAAAAAAGACTTTATTGACCAATGACAACTTAAATGAATATTACCTTCATCTAGAACCTATATACAAGATAATGATTTTAATTAATAAAGTCTCGAGAAGTGGGGTTTAGTATAGAGTTTGAGTAGGCAAATGTTCAATAAGGTGCGATTGTGATTGAAATCGACATTAATTATAGTGAAAAGGTGGGATAATGACATTATAAATATTAATAATATTTAGGAGTCATATATTTCTAAAGGTAATATATATCCTATAATAGCCGAGTGAACATGTCGAACCATGTTCGTATTTTCTAAATTTCTTCACAAAATCACTAGAAAAGTCAAATAAATTTCAAAGAATAGAAAAAATAAAGGGAAAATTCAAGTAGACAGTTTTATTTATTTATTTATTTATTATTTATTTATTTATTTATTTATGTATTTAAATTAAGACACTTTTAGGTCACAAAAGATTCGCATCTCACCAGCAAAGCTCTTGAATTTTTTGGCTTTAGCTTATTTTGAGAAAATCGAAAATATTGTCCCAAATGATTAAATTGCAATTTTAGTTTTTTCGAGTGATCATTTAACATTTTCTGTGTAATATAGTGTATTTTATACTTTCTCATATTTTTTTTAAATGTCATTTTGGCTTTATCAACTATTAACCAAATAAATTTCGTTTGGATCTTTTGTACATATTTTTCCATTATTACACTCAATTAGCTAATAAATATATTACGTCTTTTCACATCCACTTTTGTTTTTTTCTCAAAACATTCATCTATATCTTCATTAAATAAAGTTATTATTGACAAATCAAAAAAATAATTTAATTAATGTGCAACTTTTCAAAACGACATATATTAAAAATAGGAGGTAGTACAATGTATGTTGTGAAGAATGCATAACGATAAAATAAATAAATTTATTAGTATTTTTGCAATCCTATTTGAACATTGCTAGCTTTGATCGTCTTTTAAAACATTGATAAAATAAATATTTATTTATTACCAACTAAAAATATTAGTACAACAAAAACATAAAAATAATATTTGTTGTGATGATATAATGTAAAAAATATAAATATTTTATTTTTGGTGAGTAAATTGTATCCAAGTATTATTGAAATTTTGAAAAATGTAACATATATATATACTCAAACACACACATACACACACACACACATACACACACACACATATATATATATATATATATATATATATATTTATTTATTTATTAGTATTATCGAAATTATTGGAAAATATATATGTATTACTTTATTCTTATTTTTTTTTATTTAATGACTCTTTATATAAATAATAGAATTTGGCAACATTATTACTAAGCATAAACAAGAGATAAATAATTTTATCTATTTAGTTTGTAACCTTTAATAATTAATAAACAATATATGTATACTCAATAAATGAAAAAAAATGTGAAACTGGTTAGTAATTGACTAATCTTGAAAAAAAAAATTTTATTTAGTACTACCTCCTATTTTTAATATATGTCGTTTTGAAAAGTTGCAGTTAATTAAGAAAATTTTTTTTGTCAATAATAACCTTATTTAACGAGGATAGAGATGAATGTTTTGAGAAAAAAAAAAGAAGAGTGAATATAAAAAGAGTAATGTATTTATTAGCTAAATGAAGGTAACAGTGGAAAAATATGTAGAAAATATCCAAAATGACATTTATTTGACAAATAATTGATAAAGCTAGAATGTCATTTAAAAAAAATAGGAGGGAGTATTAATTTTGCATATGCCGAGACGTAAAAATATTGACGGCTATGTTAAAACTCCGTTTCGATAACGCCCTAGAACTAAAATTTTGACAGGAAAACAGAAGGTCCAATTTTTGATAACTTGAGGACAAAGTTGCAACACGATCGATCATACGGAAATGCT